CTACTACTACTACTACTGCTATACTACTACTACTACTACTACTACTACTACTACTACGACTACTGCTACTGCTATTGTCCTGCGACTGCTACTGCTCTACCACGATTACACTATATATATATATACTACTTAACTCCTCAATCCTACTCCTACACCTCATCCCAGCAACTGCTACTGCTGCTGCTGAATCATCATTACCAAGACTGCACAGCTACCGGCACCACTACTGCAACCACCCTATTATTACTTCTTCTTTTACTACCTATAGGCATTGAGAACTGCTCTACTTTTAACCACAAGGCCCTATAGTTGCTGCTGAATTGTTTACTACCCACAGTCTTTATTCGAAGATGTATTTTCTGAATAGCGTCACTCAGCCCTACTGTTGTAGGTGATGAATGATTCCGAGAAAGGATGGTGATGCTTCTCAGGTGACGGCCCATCAAGTCCACTTGGTATTGTGCAATCCGTACCGATGTCGTCGCATGCCACTACCTAAACCCTACACCCTCAACCCTAAACCCTAAGCCCTATGTCCTCGGAGCTTTAATATCTATTATACTATGTGCTCATCTAACCCGAAGCTTGCCCGGCAGCATGTGCCCAAGCATCTCGTCAAGGACGGCCGCCAAGCGCACGCCGTCGAAGGGCGGTGCTGCCGGTGCCGTTGGCCGTGGGAAGCCTTCCTCCAAGGGGAAGAGCAAGGTAGAGAAGAAGGAGAAGAAGGCTAAGAAGCCCAAGAAGGAAAACAAGGGCAAAGCCCCGAAAGATGCATAGGGTAGTGGTGTCCTAGAGGGATCGTCTGCTACTGGTAGGACTTTTTGGCTGCCGTGGCAACATGGTGCATGCATTGCATGTTCTCTAAGTTGCTTTATCACATCATGGTGCTAGCTGCTTTCTACATATGTCAGAAAATGCATGCCTCAGCAGTTGCAGTGGAGCCTCGATCTGCATTTCGTCAAACATGTGTGGAAATGCCACGCAAATTACCGGGGATGGGAAAGAGTGCCTGCCGGAGAAAGAATTCTAGATTGCACATTCAATCGACCATGTGGCTTGAGTGTCCCTCATGCAAACAAGCATAACTCTGTAGATCTTATTCCCGCAGGTTTGCTGGAAGAGGCAACAGGAGGACAGAGTTTGCAGTGTACGAAATATACGGTTCTAGTCCTTAATTAATATACTTGCCATATTTCCTAGCAAAGCCCATCTGTCCTCGCACCAGGAGACGATGAGGGCACCGATTCGGATGACCTCGCATACGAGCTTTTTGTTGGCTTTGAGCAGGGGGCTGCCAGGCTGTATATTTTGGGGTTGTTCCTAGTGGCTCTGTTCTACTTGTGTTTCATCTTTCGTGGCCTAGGCTGAAAGTGCCAAGCGAGTGACTCGTTTGGCATATGTTGCCAATCAGAAGCTGAAGAAACATGGCATCTTTTTCGTGAACAGTATATATTCGTTTCTGCTAGAGCTTTAACCTTCCAGAACCGAATAGCAAGATAGTGTAAGCCAAACCCCTACATTTCAGCCGGATCTTAGAACGCTAAAATCATATACAGTACAACTAGCTGTGTAGGATATTACCCGTATAAGACTAACTCAGGTATCCACGACCCGGCCCTGGTATTGATGGCACAAGCAGGGCGGAACAAGCGCAACGAATGCCGAAACTTACATTACTTGATACACAAATCTGGTCAAACACTTCCGATTCCCGTGGACTCGGCTGAAACCCCAGTACTGGTTCTTTCTGGAAAGATTCGCATCCAAAGAGTCAACTTTCCTATTCTGAAGCTATCACAATGGGCCCGGCACATTTTTGAAGGCCCCTTAGAGGGAGCACTATTATTGGGAGGCCATCGTCTATCAGAGGGTGCTGAACCTTTTTGCAGGATGTTCAAGCAGTTTTGGCAGCGTTTTGAGCAAGTATGTCCCGAGTTGGACATCTATCAGGAGGAGGGTGTCGACTTAGGATATTGTATACCATATGGTTACCATGGTGATGAAGGGCGAGGCAAGCTGAAGCGCCCGATCATGTGCTTGAGCTACCAGCCCCTGGTGTCCTATCGAGGAATGAGCTACCTGAACTCCAGTGGGTGCCATTAGAGCAAATTAAACCTTGAGCCCGTAAAGCCCTGCCCTAGCCCCTTAAAGCTAGTTAGGGTTATATAGGATTCCGGTACATAGCTCATTAGGGCTTTAGGGTTCCATATTGTAAAAATATATAAGGTCCAGGTTTATATAGCCTTAATTTGGAGCCTGCTGCTCTCGAGGCATTCGTTCTCAACCCGGCTACTGGCCACCGTTGTCCCAAGCGAGGTGTACGTCGGGGACAAGACACTGGATGCAATTCATACCGAAATCACAAATGATTTGCTGAGCTTGTACCACGAAGGACTCCAGGTGGGGGTATAGCTTAATATAGGGTGCCGGGAACAAGTGCTAGTTAGTAAGATCGAGCTAGGCCGGGTTGCAAATTGCCGAGGATCGAATGTATATAGTGTTAGGTTTGGTTTTGTTGAAATATGCACCCACCAGGTCCGTTGCCAAGGCAAAGATATAGTACTGCGATTCATTCCAGTGATGGTCAAGGGCGATTGGCCATTTTTAAGAAAAGCACTTCACTTGTCCACCGGCCCGACAAGCAAGCGGGTATGCCATCAATGCGATTCGACAGTGCCTGCATATATTTGCAGCATTCGATAGTTATAATTATTTATACTTCTAAATATTCCTAAGTGGCTCATAACTGCTTCCAAAGTTGCCCTGTCTCGAGATATTTAAGGAATGGTGGGACCTTTCAACCTCCAACCCGACAAGAACACTTCCCAAAGGGTGGGACCTTTCAACCTCCAACCCGACAAGAACACTTCCCAAAGTCTACGAGCCGAGCGACCCATTCAAAATCCGCCCAGTATCCCCGCTACGACTGTTGCCAAGTTTTGACGGGGCTCGCTGGATCAAGGCGGATCCGATGCACACATACAGCATCGGATGGGGGAAGGACCTGGTGGCTTCATCAGTGATTCTACTTATGCACATGGGTGTGTGGGGAAATGGCAGGTCAATTCAACCGAAATTGAATAATGCTTTCCAAAGGTTCCGGGCGTTTTGCAGAGCCAGTGGCAAAAGTACGAGCTTGACACGCTTTACTTTGAAAACCTTCAAGGTGAAGAAGTGGCTTGCCTACAATGCTGTAGGGTGTATAGTGAAGTGAAGGATTAGCTAGATACACATTTAAAACCCGAACCATATTCCTGAATAGATCGTTATTATACTAGCCCTAGTACAAATAATATACTATGTTAATATATATATATATATATATATATCGTAGGCCTTTAGATTTTTTCTGAATGCTATACCAATCGCGATATCAGCTTTGCAATCAACATTGCTCTCAGGCTCACCCAGTATCCGACTGGAGCGGGCAAAGGCCATGACACCTCTGTACTTTGTACGTGGATTCACCATGAACTTTCGCAGGTGGATGTAACCACCATCGATGTGCACTGTTCTATATTAAGTACTCGACTTTCGGATCTCGTACCTATAATAGTAGTGGTTGGTCTGGGGTGGGTATAGTATACGTGTTAGGCTGCTGAATGTGGGTTATGCATCTTAAGGCAAGCTTTCAAGAGCTGTTCGGGCTACTGCGCTGGACTGTTAATGCCGTCGAATTGCACTGGCGGACTTTGTACTCGTTCGGTATGTGGCTTCGTCCATATGCTGCCCGAGTTGCCGCCGAAGCGGGATGGGCAATGATGGATGCCAGGCGGTGATCAGCACGCTGTGTGTGTTGTGTATACAGGCCCCGACACTCCAGCCCATTATAATTTCAATGCCCCAACCTGTTCCCACAAACGACTCTCGTGGCCCAGAACTCCAAACCCTACAAAAATTAAACTCAGGCTGGCTACGGTTCTTTGGCTGCAAAAACTGCTAGTCTGAGAATGCCACTGTTCCGATTGCGACCCAAATGCCATATGCAGTTGCATCTGGTGTGGCTGGGTATCATATAGTATACTGTCGGCTGTGTTTCTTGAGATTAAATTAAATCTATAAAACACCGATCCATTAGTACAACCTGTGCAGCCAAGGCTGGATATATCCCACCAGCTTCTAGACGAAGCCGAGTACATTTGCAATCCGCTTTGCAACTTGCAACCGTTTCAGCAACCAATCACATTTTTGCATTGTCAGGGGTTTATCGATTAATCCCTAGCAGATCGTATGCCTAGGCTTAATTCCTGAATCCCGGATGAGGAGTGATGCTAAAATGCACTGGGTAGTGCTATGGGGATAAGTCGTATCTAGTGCTCGTGCCATCATCAACCCGGTTTATGCTACATGTATATTGGATTTTTTTCGAAAGCTAGCTAGCATAAGGCTGGTCCTGCTGGTCCGATGAGGATTACGTGGGTCGCTGCAGTCGCATCTCCCGCCGTACTCACAGCTTTACGACGACAAGTCGCACGATTTCCCGAGCACTCATGCTGTACCGGCGTGTGTGGACAGAAGTGTTCGGCTGATCGGTGTGAAAAGGAACCATTCATTAATGTTGCGCAGACAGCATCATCCGAGGCTTGCGGGATCCCCGGTCCCAAAACTCGAAACCCTAGGGGTATATAATCCGATTAAGCCCCTAAGCTCCAAACCTACACGTGCAGTTTCGAAGATTTACAGCATCACCGCGTGCAGTTTT